ACTTTATGTATTATATTAACATTCAAACAACCAGCTCAAACCAACAATTTAGTTAAACCATTAATTTTCAACTAGAAAATAAGACGTAGATAGCAATAATAATAATAATAATATAATCATATAAGATAAAAACTCTCTAAATAATGTAAAGACCTGTAAATAACATTTAAATATTAAATGTTAAAGTAGCTAATATGGAGATATCAGTTAATCAAACTTCTTACCTAGTTTCTTCTCAATTAAGAGAACAGCTTATTATTTAACTTCTACAATAACGAGTTCATAACTCAACAATCACTAGAACAATCACTAATATGGTATATGGTATTAACGGGTATTTTAAATTATAATCATAATTATGCAGTTTTGTAGAGAGATTTAGACTATTTGGTGAGCTGGACATGCATGTAGTAGATGACTTTTAATCTTAATAAAACTAAAATTGGTTATCACAACATTAGTTATTTTTGAAACTTTTGCAGAAGAAGCTCTATATGAAGTTGATGACAAACAAAATATCTAGAAACAACTATTAAAGAGTTTCTAAAACTTTATAGACAATACTTAAGCGTATGAAACAATAAATATTATGAAAGTTGGAAGCACATGCGTATTTGTGGCAGTAGTATGGTGAGAGTTGCAAAGGTTAAATGGCATCTTACGACCCCGAGACCACACAGAGAGGTCTTTACAGGACTCTTAGGCTGTTGCTAACAAGAGTACCTCTGCTCCAATGTTGGTCAAGATCAATCAGAAAAACTGAGAAGAGCTAGAAATGCCACTGGTTGACAAGTTTTACCATTCAGAGCTGTATTCTGGGGAGGTGAAACAACAGGCACCCATGTGTAAAGATTGTGAATTACGGGGCAGTAGTAAGCTTCTCCATGTTGGGAGATATCCTACCAGGAAGACCATAGTTTGGAATGAAATCTGGAGTTGAATATTTGACAATATGTAATGACAATACAATTGGTCTTACACACGTATATGAACATTACATAAAGTAATTAGTCAGTGTTTTATAACTCGAATGAATCAAATACATAGAGAACATAATAATAGGCCAAATGAACATGGATACAAAGCAAATGAATAGGGAATATGAAGTTCACTGTGATAACTGATCTGGAAGGCATTATATCAAAATACAATACACCTGTTATTTTCGTTAATACTAGAAACTTAAGAGGTAAAAATAATGAAATAACTCACTGAAAGCAAACAAAGTTTTGCCTGGTGTTTCCCTTAAAGAGCAGTGCAAATATATATTTCAATTGGATTGCAGATAGTACAGCAGCTTTTTACATTACCTCTGCTGGTGCTGCCAAATAAGTAGCCAATGGCATACATTAAAAAGCAGGATCCATCAGCCGTTAGTCGCACCAGAGGGCGCATCGTCATCACTTGTCAATAATACTTGATTTGTTCCATCTCCAAAAATACATTCGAAAGCCAAAGAAAATTTTCAGAAGCGTGGATCCTCTTGAGGGTCGACCAGGCAGTGAAAAAGCAAAGATAGGATGAATTCTCAAACAACAGTAGCCACGATTGAGACTTTATGCAGCAAGCTAGACGTCTCCTCATGTACCATCACAATGGCACTGCAGATGAACCAGTCAGCTCAGGAACCATCTCCTCCTCCACCACCACAAAGAGTCTATGGTGTTAGTGAGAAAGCATCAACTATACAAAGAAGAGTTCAAACTCCTAATTAGCCACTGAACCTCCACCAAGAGATCCAGAAAACAGCCCCAGAAAATGCTGAGGCTGGAACTTCTGTTCAAACCACCTATGATGATCACTAACTGCTCCACACTTGAGTAGATCCCAGTGTTGAAAAGACACTGCCAGAAAAGAACTACCAATTGGACCAAATTTATACTCTATACAGTCGATAGAAAGTTCAATTAATGTCTCCAGCATGATTTGAAGAGTTATATCACTTACACTCCAAGCTGGCTTACACAGAGAGCCCTTGTTAAAGCCAAAGAAGACTTGAAAACTGCCATGGTGGCCAACCACAAGACAGCAGCAGAACTGGAAATCTACTGGTGATATTAAGGTAAAGAGGAGTTGTGGATAAGTGTACATTTTGTCATTTTAAATTGTACAATTAATATATTTTTATTTTTAGTTTATTTTATTAATCCAATTTATCAAGATGCATTTCTGTAGTTTTTGTGTTAATTCATCATATCTATGTATACATATTCTGTAAGAACATATGGATTGTTAAAATGCTTGTTTTTTGTACATCATTAAAAGGGTATTACATCTGGTATGTGGTTTCACAAAGTAAAGTGAAATGGTTATTTCACCAATTGTATTTTCACTGAAGTAAAAATATTTCATTTTCTCGTATTATCGTTTTTTATGAAAATATTTTATCTTTTTCATGCCATCATATTGTTGTTTTTTTATTTCATGAGCTCAATAGTTACCCACACTGGTCCCCACAACCTTGCATAATGTCCTGTCACACCACAGAGCTTCTGTATGACTTCTGGTACTCCTTTGTGATCTAACACCTTGATGCTCACAAGGGTTTGCTGAGACGCAGAATCCATGACAAAGTTGCACCTTTGGCCATCCAGCTTTCCTGTCACGTAGACACTATGTGTGCTTGGCATTTTACACCTAGCTATTGGGACTTTCACAGTGGGTGTTGGTAGGCATCCCTCAACACGAACCACTACTGGTCTCCCCGAAGCTGACTTATTG